GTTGATCTGTCATTTCTCCCTCTTTTTTCAGTCTATTACCAGCAATAACAAACTCTGCTATATTCCACGGATTCGGAAATTGGTCTTTTGTATACATTTCGTTCCATATCAGACATTGATACAAAGTGACACCAAATGAATAGATATCTGCTGGTGTTTTATACTTCTTTTGTTCCAAAATTTCAGGTGCCATATACACTGGAGTGCCGATACCTTTCGTGAAGGTCATATTAGTCATCAGTAAATTAATATTTCTTGACGATCCAAAATCAGTCAATTTAGCGTTCACTCCTATTTTCTCATCAAATGAGAAGACCAAAATGTTATCTGGTTTAATGTCTCTATGTAAAATTCCGTTGTTATGTAAATACAAAATCCCTTTAGAAGTGTCCAACATCATCTTCACTTTTAGTCGTAAATTTGGCTCTTTCGCTTTGACCACTTTAATTAGTTTATTAAGACTTCCGTATTTGGCATATTCAGTGACCATACAGACGTGTGTTGGTATCAAAATGGCGCCATAGAAGTGGACGATGTACTCACTTCTGAATTTGTCTAACATCTCAATTTCCTTTCGAAGTTCGGCCATTTCGTCGTCCATGTCGTTCGCGTATTTCATCTTTTTAATAGCAACGGAGTTGTTGCGATACTTCCCTTTGAAGACAACACCAAAGCCGCCTTCTCCAATTTGTCGTTGATATTCCAACTCGTCTGGGTCTATAGCTGTTGAAGGTGCTGTGGTGTATGAAATTGGTATTTCTATGATATTTTCGCTGCCTTCTTTTAAATCCAAAATGCGAAATTTTAAAGTGTCCTTTAATTGAGTCGAACAAAATGGAGTTAATGTGATAGTAAAAGTACACATCTTATTCTTCTTTAATGGAACTTCACAGGGAATACACTGCATTTCATATTTAAAACTCTCTGTATTCACCGGAATAAGCTTTTTTACTGTCTTCCCAATATTACCAATTCTTAAGGTTTGTATGTTTGGTTGGTTCACTAATAACTCTCCCTCATTATTTGGATTTTTAAAGTCAAGTTGAAGCTTTTCTATAAAGATGTTTTGATATATTTTGACCATTTCAAGGTCGTCTGGTATATTAGAAATGTGTAACATCTTTTCTTTGACTGTTTGAATGTGAAGATTAGTAAGTCTCTTTGATATAATGATAATAAAAACGATGATAATTGTAAGGATAATGAGAATAAATATAATAATAATGAAAATAACCCACCACGGTATATAAGAGACACACGAATCGCCTTCTGTTTCATACCAAAAAGTACATTTTGAGCATTTTCCATCATATACAGACAAACACTCTTTAACTGAGGACATCGGCTTACACGCCCAATTTTTTAAAATCAATCCACTTGCACACTTTTCACATCTTAAAAATGAAGTGCACTGAACACAATTGTCTTCACATTTTTCACACTCTTTGTGGTACAAATAATACCCAGAAATACAATTAGTGCACCCCAATGAAACTGATATAAAAGAACACCCACTTGTTGCATTTTGTGGCTTACAGACGCCATAGTTGTAACTCATAAAATAGTCGCTTTGACATGTGTTGCACTTAATGTTATCTGTACATGTAGCACACCCTTCGTTACACACTTTACATCCATCACCACTTCTGTAATACCCATCCTTACAAAACGCACAACCTTGTCCACTGGGAAGTGGTTTATCACATACAGCACTTAATTCGTCACTTGTTAAACATTTGTGTTCTTGTAAAAATCTATTTTCAAGACATGTGATGCACTTTTCTGAATTGAGGCAGGAAGTGCAATCGTATGGACACTCTACACAAAAATTAGATTCATTGAGATACATTCCAACGTCACAGGCAACACAAGTTGAAGAACTTTCAATAGTACAGTTTGATTGGGTTTCTGTTGTACAATTGTTTTCTATTAAATGATAAGAAGTAGTACATTCATCACACCCACTTAAGCGGTCAAAAGGACAATTCTCTCTTTTTGGAATACAAGCACTGCCATTATATAACGTTTCTGTATTACAAATACATTTATTACGTGTTATGGAATCACAAGTTGGTTCTTTTAAACACTCTCCATTAGTATAAATATAAGTATCTAGACACTTAATACACTTCCCATCCATGCACATCTCACAATTTGGAAGTGCTTCAGAGCAAGTGTTACATACATCTTCTTTTAAATACGATTGTGATGATTCGCAATATAACAGTTTGTTATTTTTATTGACAAACCCTTTGGAATTTGAACATGAAGTTCCATCCCAATAGAACCCCTCTTTACATATCGAACATAATTTGTCTGATGTACAAAAATCACAATTTGGAATGGTACAAATTACACAATTTCCACTCAAAAGATAATATCCAAGTTCACATTTAAAACACGTTCCACTGTTTGAAAACAAACAATTGTTACTTGAACAAACGCCGTTTTTCATTATAAAGGCTTTTGTATTGCACTGGTAACAAAAAGTGTTGTTCACACACGTCTTGCAATCAGTTCCACATTTTTGACAACTTCTTGTTGTCTCTTCATAATAATAAGTGGCATCACACTCACGACATATCCCATTTTCAAATAGAGAACAATGATCCAAAACACAGTTTATCCCACTTGTTGTGTATAAACAGTCGCAGACTCCATTATTCATACGTTTTTCAGGTGGACATGTGATACAATTTAAAGCCTGTGTTTGTGATATGATACTCACTGTTCATTAGTTTATTTTATTATATATTATAATATATAATATAAATATATAATAATATAATAAATTTATACTTTAAATATATTAAATAATTGATAAAATCAACTGTAGAAGTTGGATTATGTTATATCTATTTTCATATTATAATTTAATAAATATACCATATATTATTGTTGTATTAATGTTAACAAAATAAATATCAATTATATGAGTTATCGTGTTTAAATTACAACGTGTCATTTTTTGAAAACATGAATAATTTTTTGTTGTAATTAATAATAAAATGGTTAGTAAATAATATTTGTATAATATTTATTAATAAATAATACTTAATTTAATAGAAATGGAGTTTGCCTAACCGTGTTAAACATGAAAAATATAAGTATTAAAATAACACTAAAAAACGACAAAAACAATACAATAAATGTAAGCAATATTTTTAAATAAGTTTATTTATACTCCATTTAAATGGCATTTAAATTAAATTATATAATGGTTATATAATTTAGTTTATATTACTAATAATATATAATAACAAACGTTGGCAATTATTGTTCACAATCATATTAGGAGGCCCATAAATTCCATTTAAAGTTGTTCCTTCTTTTCCTCTGAACAAATAAGTGAACTTGTTATTGGCAATAATAAATTGTCCGTTCTT